ACTCGAAGAACTGTCGAACGAGATAGTTTCGTTAACTCGCATATTCTATTCACAATAGCATTCTGTGAAGTGTGACAGTTTTCCTTCTTCAAGCATTCATGAATATTTAAAATTACTCGCTGAACTTGAACATGTAAGTCCTTATTTTCAAATTCCGGATTCCTGTCGATTGACACAGATTCCTCACACGTAATGTTATCATTTGTTACAAAAGGTCTATTGTTGACAAATTAATTTGTAAATTTAGGTATATAAATAGCTAACCCTTGTCTTTAGATTCAGTATCGATTTGCTTCTCCTGAAACTGCTAACCTTGTTAGCGAAACGCGCGTCGACTGCAAAAATATCAGTTTGGTGTTAGGTTAATTGATCTCTAGAAAAAGTATTTCAAAAATCGGTTTGCAAAACCACTCACTACCTCACCTAACCCCACGAACACATGGCACTGATAAAGATATATTGTGAAACGACAAAAAATTAGTATTCAGCCAGTCCAGCTAGCCCAGCCTTTACTCCTCAACTAAATTTAATACGTTTACTAATTATCTGGGCGACTAGAGGCCACAGGCAAGAAATGTTTATGACTGTACTCATATTTTTATTGCCGTTCCAATTGGAAATGGATAGACTATACATATCGACAGTACAGTACTGTACTTCTTGACGGGTTCTAGTTTTTTCGTCCTAATGTGTAGGTATTCTGCGCAGTTTGTGGGAATTCTCAAGTCTCTTCTTAGATTTGTAAGGCTGTAAATGTTTGATTTGTTTTTTTCACACTCGAGGTCAAAATAATTAAGTGTTTGATTTCTTCACATCATTGTCATATTGTTATTTCTGATAGGCGTAAACATAAATATATCTTTTTGGAGAGTTTTTGAAGAATTGTTTTCCTTGATAGGTAATGTACATACATCTTTTTCTACCTTAGAATATACATTTAGATGATTTGATATACAGGGTCTTTTGATTAAGGTCGGTCGGTAGCCAGGCGGTTGGGAGTGGGTGCTTTTTTCACTCACTCGAATTGACTTCCGTGTTGATCGGTGGTTTAACCCCTAGCCTGAACGATCGGTTTTCACTTGCTATCGTCCAACCCGTGTTAGGAATCACACGTTAAAAGGTAAGACCTCATTAATTAATTGCTTGCACAAGTTTCAACTTTTGAGGGCTGTCGTTCGTAGGGGTGGGACAGCTGGTTAACGGAAAAACAGATTTTAGACAGGGCTTTAAAGTTTCATTTCCCTTTTCTTCATTATGGTTTCCTACCACGTAGTAACGGCTACATCCATCAATTTTTCAATTGAAAGACCTATTAGTGTCATTATGTATGGAATATAACATCGTTCAAATGTCTGCCACGGACATGGTGGAGTGTATCCGAAACGTCCAATTTTCCATGACAGGCACATAAATCAGGCTGAATTTGATCAATGGCATATGTTATGTTGGCTTTAATTAAGGGCCGCTGTAGTTCTTTGTGGCTTATTCGCATACACCTGCGACTTGAGAAAACCCCAGAAGAAAAAGTCTAACGGGGTCAAATCGCACGATCTTGGTGGCCAGTTCACATCACCTTCACCATGCCCTCAAATCGCTCGTGCAGAATATCCAATGTGGCATGAGCTGTGTGGCACGTAGCACCGTCTTGTTGAAACCACAAGTCGTTGGTGTCCAGATCATCCAATTCTGGCTAAAAGAAGTTGGTAATCATCGCTCGACGTTGACAGTGATGGCCTGGCCACACCTAAAAGTGACTTTTTCAGGATGCTCTTGGATTCCTTGTGGATTGTTATCGTCCCAAATTCAACACTTTCGTTTGTGCGGGTACCAATTCATCTAGAAATTGGCCTCATCGCTGAAGATGATTTTTCGATGAAAATTAGGGTAGGTTGCCAATTGCTCCAGACCCATTCGGTTGAATGTTGTACGGGTGCAGGCCCAAGTCACGACGCAAAATTCGCCAATTTGTGGTCTGCGGAAGGCCGAGTTATTGTTAGCGACGCGAAATCGACTGCCTCTCTTGCACACTCTCACATATAGTGTCAATGTTTTCGGCAGATATTGGGTTTCGTCGAAGTACGAGTATTGGTCGATCATTTGCTGAACCAGTGGACTCAAATTCATTCACCACATTTTGAATTGCATTTGGACGATTATAGCGACTGTAAAATGGGTGAAGCGGGCGGTACGTTGCCCCATTTTTATAAAACAATTTTATCATCTGAACGTGTCGTTGTATGCTATATCCGTCCATAATGATTTGGCAAAACAGACTGAATAAATGACATCTAATTTGACAGACGTAGTTTCAACAAGATGTCCGATATCAATTGTCAAAGTTCGAAAGTCCCTGCTGAAAGACCCGTTATATTACTTCTTGATCAATTAATTCTTTGATTTTGAAAAATTTTTTGTGTGTGAGGAATTCATGAAAAACTCTTTTCAGTTTTTCTAATATTCTATTCATTTACATAATCGAAGAATAATAGTTTAAACACAGAACATATATTTTTACGTTCAAGGTCGACTTGGACCACACTCTATTGAAAATTACTTCGATTTTTACATGCATTTTCCGAATCAATTGAGTGGGTAATATCAAACTCCAATTGCAATATTTTTCAGCAAAATCGAGTATGAAAGTGAGTTGTGAATGAAATGAAACTAGTACGAGGTAAGTACGCCTGAGGTACTTCTGGGAAAAAATAATACAAAGTTTGCTGCAGTTCTGGTTTGCTAGAATTGTAGTCCAACGGATCATGTAGTTTTTTCATCAAATTGTCAACAACCAACGATCACAGAAGAGGCAATTGCACCTTTTCTCGGGGTCCGCCTTTTTCCACAGTCACTTGAATTGTCTCCTCGAAACCAACTAATGAGTCTGCTTTTAAGCATTGACCATATCCCTCTGATCAATCACGGAGGTTTACTCCATTCCTTGTATCATCTAACGATGGATTCATGTGAGGTATTGTATCAATGAAACCCAAAGGGCATTTTCTTTTGTCATTAAAGATTTTTTGTGCATTCAATAAAGCACTGTAGAAAATTGATTGTAGACTTGTTAGTCTGCTGTTTCTTTGATAGAGATTTCCTTCTCTATATCAAATCTTTAACATGTTTCCATGTTCTGGACTTTGAAGGTTATTTGAGATGTGCCAGTCTCCAATGAAACGAATAGCTCCCTTGGAATCGGATTTAGGGCCCCAGGATGGGGCCTAGGGTGTATATATTTATGAAAGAACGGGAATGTTTCATAGGATAGGAGGTATTTTTTTCCAATGAATTTATTCATTTAACTTGATATACAACCAATAATAGTTAATCAATACATTATAAAAGTGTAATTTATCGCTGTCTGTGTGAGGTATGTGAGGACAAAATTTTCAAAATGTATATGCAGAATGACATCTGTCAATGGACAAAATACTGGGTTGTCCCCAAAATTAGTTACATTAAATAATTCATAAAAAAATATACAGTGTGTAAAAGCCACATGGAGTAAATTCATTATTTCGGTTACGGTACATATTTTTAAAAAAATCCCGAAACACGTCAAATTCAAATTATAATTTGACCTACTTCAACGGAAAAATGCAACCCCTACCTTCAACCCCCTTCAAATGACAGGTACAACCCCCCATTTTTCAAGTGGGAAGTATAGGTTTGTGATATATCGTTTAAAAGGTCTCTTCATTTTCTATTCAAAATTGTTATCGCTTTCAAGTTTATTGCAACAATCAAAATAAAATAAATTAAAATCATGTGGTTACTGAAAGTGGATAAAATACACTCAAAACTTATTGCAATATACTCAAAACTTATTTCATGTTGAGGTATTGTAAATAAGAAAGTAAGCAAAAACCATAGCAATGTTCTTTTTAGATGGCATCCTTTAAAAAACTGTAAATAATTTCCGTGGCAACTTGTTTTGTATGTATGACAACATTAGTTGTCAGTAGTGTAATTTGAGTTTAAAGTTCGTTAACTTCAAGTCTGGCAAATCGATTGATTAACAGAAATGCATAAAATAACAGTTTTACAAATGATTGGTTACGGAGATAAAACCCGAACACCTCAAACTCGAACATTTCGCCTATTTCATGAGAAATTTCCTAATTTATTGCCCATATCTCAAGGAACAATAACCAAAATAAAAAAGCAGTTACGTGAGCTTGGTCATGTGAGGCAGATAAAAAAAGTAGCTGCCAATGCAATGAGTGACGAACACAAATTAGATGTGATGATTGAGTTTGAGAAAAACCCACATACATCGAGTAGGCAGACATCCACTACACTCAATGTTAGCCATACATCGATAGTAAACATTTTAAAGGAAAATAAAATGCATCCCTATAAAATGATAGCTACTTATGAGCTTATGGAAGACGATTTTGATAGAAGAACTTATTTTTGTGAGAAATGATTGATATGTTAAATAACAATATCATCCAAACAGAGGACGTTATGTTTTCTGATGAGTGTACTTTTTCTAGCGTTGGCCGCTACTGGCCAACGGAAAATCCTAACTGGAAGAATACACGCAATACCCTCAAAAGGTTAATGTTTGGGATTGTAGGAAACAACGTCATTGGTCCCTTTGTCATTGAGGGCAACTTGAATGGCGATAATTATTTGGCACTATTTCAAATTTCAAGTTTAGCAAATTTATATCCTGATCCAGGAAACCCTCAAGTTCCAGTGAATACGATATGGTTTCAGCAGGATGGAGCACCACTACATTACCAAGTTAATGTCAGGTAATATCTCGACACAACATTTCCCAATCGGTGGATAGGGAGGCGACGATCGATTGAATGACCAGCGCGATCATCTGATCTTTCATCATTAGATTTCGTTTCATGGGGACATGCAAAGAGCAATGTGTACAAAACTAAACCTTCAAATTTGAATGACTTAAAAGAACGAATAACGCTTGCCATTAGGTCGGTCACGCCTGATATGATAAATAATGTTAGAAGACAGTTTTATTTGAGATTAGGATGTTGCAAAGACAGTTGCGGTGAACATTTTGAACATCTACTTAGATAACGTCTATAGTTCTTTTTCGTATTCTACATTTCATTGAGTTTTGCATTACATTTTAGTTTTGGAGTGTATTTTATCGAAAAATGCGATAGCATTTTTGAATAGAGAATGAAGAGACCTTTCAAACGATGTATCACAAAACTATACTTCATGGTGAAAACAAGGAGTGTCAATTACGACGGAATGGAAAAGCTTGAGAAAATGTTTGAGGCTTTACAAGCAAGCCTGGCGGAGAATGAAAAACGGAGAAGAGAGGAAGAGGAACGCAAAAGAGAGGAAGATGAACGCAAAAGAGAGGAAGATGAACGCAAAAGAGAGGAAGAACAATTACGCCGAAATGAAGATCGTGAAATACTACTAGGTATTTAAGAAATGCAGGAAAAAGACAATCAGATGATTTAAAATCTTCCCAAGTGAGTGATACTCGAAATAAGCGCCAATTAAATCAGTGTACTTCTGCAAACGTAAAACAAGTCGATTAAATCCGTCAGCATGAAAATTGTGTGCTCGGGATTCAATGAAGTCGACGAAGATCGTTTTGGCCTAGTCCTGATTGGCGAAGGCTCTACTCGAGAGAAAGTTATCAAAGTGCTTGAAAATATGCTAGTTGGTTGGTAAGAGGTCTGCGGAGTATGGTGGGTGAGGCAAAACTTCGACGTTCCATTCTTATAACGTTGATTTGTGGAACGTGGGGACGGGCGTAAACATGTTTTTTTGGTGGTTTTTTGCCTCTGGAAAGTGCCTGAGTGGCTCATTGGGACCAATTACAATCCTGAACGTCTCCTGTTGTCGTAGAGAATACACTTTTCATCACACGTAATCATCCGATCAAAAAAGGATTGTTTTGGTTTCGCGAAAAAAAAGGGGAAGAGACCTTGAAACGTGACAATTTTTGTCGATCTTCCAAATGACCCACTTTTATAGCTTTTCGACCTCTCCAATACGTTTGAAACCATCAAAAACCGCATGGGAGCTGACGCCCAGTTCTTCCGCCATCCCACGCACCAGGGTCCTAAAATCTTCGACGTGGATTACTGTAGGTCGACCACTTCGGGGCCATCTTCGAGGCTGAAATCTCCGGAACGAAATTTCGTAAGCAACGTGAATCAACACTATAATTGCTAAATTCCTGATAGATTTTTTCGGAATGTTTCGGCAGCGCTTGGGTTCAATTTGAATTCGTACAGGAAAATTGGCCAAAAATCGTTTAACGACGTCACATAGTAATAAGCTGAGAAACGTCAAAAAATAAAAATTTAGAAAGAAGTAACATCAATGTATAGAGTACAAAACCCTCTATCAATCAGTTAGTCATACCATGACACAGTAGAATAAAAACCTATTGAAATATGGAGGTACAGAAATACATGACAATAAAACGGACAGAACTATGGACATTTATGTACTTATTCTAAAAAGAAAAAAACAAACTTGAAATAAAATCACAAACATCAATTTATCACAATTTAATGTGATGAATTGGTATTTCGTTTTGAGAATTACCTATGTCAAGATCAAATTACACATGGTATTTCTGTTTATCTGAACATGTACTAGTAAATCTCGCAATAAGCTTTGATATCATATAAATAGTGTTGTGATAAATTAATGAATTAGATTCAATTCAAAGTTTAATTTTGTCTTTTCAGATATGGTAAATAAAAAGCATGTACTTTTTATTATCGATTTATTTTTAACATTTTTTTTTCTCGCAATGTTTGTATACTAGTTCGTGTGGAATCTTGCAAATGGATTATAAAGCAATTATCCTAAACTGATTGAACTGAAATTTTGCATACATGTTCAGTTTAGATGACAATGCATGGGTAACTAACTTGATGCCATTCTAAGTAAGAAATCTTTTTTGTACTTTATTCTGTGGTCATTATACATCTAATATGGGGGATCGTACAAGATACCTGTCTAGTTCTTTATGAACTATCATGATATTAGTTTAAAATTGAAGGGTTTGCTGAAGGAAATACGAAAATAAACACGACTTCACTATAAATTTCATATGACTGAGCGATTTTTTTATGTAACTCTATGATATAAGTATGAAATGAAAAGGTTTATTGAAAATAATACAAAAAATAACTCAATTATAGCGACCCGACCAAGATGACGAACTAGTTTTTTTATGCACTCCCATATGCACACCCAAGTGAAAGGGTTTGTTAATGATAATACGAAAAACAACATGCCGTTACTCTGAATCCAATAAAGCAGACTATCGAGTATGCCTAATATAATGAATTGGTTTTTCAACGTGATATTTGTAATTCCGAATATGTGCAATTGGCACTCAATAATGAAATTATTCGGTGACTGATGATCTACGGTAAATGAAAAATCAAGAACCCAATCGTTAAATTTCTTTGACGTATTGAAGTTTCATCTTTGTCGATTTTTTCTAATTCTCTAGGTTTCCTGTCATTTGATGTTAATAATTTGAATTGGAGGGGTTATATTTTTAGGAGTGATTAATTTTTGTTTGTGTCTGAAAGTTACTTCTCTGCATGATCTACACATCCATGTATAGAGTTACTTATTTTCAAATTGATTACTTCCTTCCTTTCTTTGTGATGGAGTAGTAGAAAGCCAAAAACTTTCTTTCCCAAAAATGTTAATAATATTTATATGACATATGTCAAATTATTATTATAAACAGCTCAATAGTATGTTTAGTATGAACAGGAAACATTCCACTCAACTGAGATTCTAGAAGTATCACACCTTTTTTTACTTACGGTTGAATGTTTTTCCTGAGAATTTTAGTGACATTTTGTATATTATGTTGTTCACAAAACACATGATTCACTCTTAATGAAACGTTAAAATATCAATTACCGGTGAACAAATAGATAATAATCTTAAGATTTTAAATTTTTTAACCATTTCCTTGCATTCCCGTTCGCTGGCTTATTAACAACCACATCTCATTATGGTTATTTAATGAGCTAATAACTTGATATTTAACTCACCCATCATCAATATATAAACAAGGCAGTGGAATTTTGCCATTTTTCTTCACGATGCTTTTAAGCGGCTTCTTTCAACTCGATTTTTTCTAAATGAAAATATTTACTGATTTCCATACACAGTTTCAGTTCATGAAATGTACTCAACAACATAAATCTCGCATTGTTTTCGTTACACTAGCAACGGGCTTCTATTTATTCTGCTGAATAATATTTTCCATTATAGGTTTGTCAATGAAACGTCACTAGACATGGTACTTAGATTCAGCCCAGTCAATAAAGTCTAAGTTCTTAATGTGAGTTTCCATAGTTTGAAACAATATAAAGTGTGTTTTGGAAATAAATAAGCACTGAGAAAATTATTAAGATTTCATGCCATTTTCAATAATGGGACAGACACATTTCTTCATTATGTTTCTTTGTAGAAAAAAGTTTCCAACATTTTCATTCTTATTTGTATTAAATATTGAGATTCGAACAGAAGATACGAAACATTTGAATTTAGCAAGAAATGCGATAAACTTTCGGAAAGTGGCTATATTTATATTCTTCTTTACTAAAACGGCACCTTTCAACATAGAGTATATGCTCTACAAGGTAGAAGATTTGACAGTTTCAAATTTTTGCCAGAATTACATCCTGTGTAATATTTTTGCATTTCTCCATATCCATCCATTTCGAGAATAAACTATAAACGTTTTCGTACCTAGACTTCAATTATTCAGGCAATACATGTGCTATAGCAGCAGTTGCTGCATTACAATTTCCGTAAGGCACATTTTCAAACTCAGTATCGCTGCTGCTTCCCACAGTTTATTGCGATAATTGTGAATAAAAACCATACAAACTTTCAAAATATCCAATCATTTCATGTCAGATAGCTATCATTCGTTATTTCGCTACTATGGTAATGAACATCTGCTTTTATCAGAACCATACCCACCAATATTTTCATATTTACAATGATAATAACGATGTGATTCTTCACGGTTTAGGATGTACTTCCTGGAAGGTTGCCGAAAAAATAAATTCTTTTTTCTACTCTCTCCATTTTAAACTAATCATTACGCGTTTGTCAGCAGGCTCATTCAGAATACACGTGTATTCTAAATTAATGGCGGCCACTTCCGTAAGAAATTTCAAAAAATGATGAGATATGTAACATTTACTCTAATAAATATGATCTTATAAATACATTCAATTATCCAAAAGCCAAAATCAATGAATTTTCTCTCCAAATTATCTGTAAAATCTAAATAAAAATAATATTTTCAGTGAATTTATTATTCAACAGTTTGTGGGTTGGTAATGAATCTAGTTAGATCTGTGAATCAACAGTCACTTGTTTCAATTATTATGAGCTGTCATTTCGTAACTCGTAAAAATTCGCAAATTCGCAAATATTGCGAAAAATAATTTGCTGCCAGGAAAATCAAGAGAAAAATACGAATATAATTTTGAAAATATTATGAGATGGAAAAAAAACCCAACATCTTTCTCCGATAATGTTCTCGATTATTTCGAGCATTTATCAAAAACTTTGAAAATATTGGCATTATGGGCAATTTACTCCCTGCTGAGAAATACCCTGAATATCAAGAAAAATGTGGACACCAGTAAGTATTCCAAATTTCGTGCCTTTCTAAAATGCAAATCTGATGGTTATGAACCGAAGAAATCGTCGACGCTCACCACTGAACAAAAAATCAATTCATTAAGGAAGCTGCAGATGACAAATATTTGTTTTCGAAGGTAACACAACTCCGCTTTTTCCTTCTATTCATTTTTTATGAATTTTTTGCAATAATTTTCTGAATACTAAGACACAACATTGAGGTTAAAACTGACCTCAACAGCCAATAGCCAATCATATTTCATTTGCCAGACGCCTCTAAAGCAAAGCCTTCTTCCGTTAATTTTATGGACTATAATAGCCAAAAAAAAAGGATTTAAAATTCTTCACTCACATAGTGAATATCAATTATGTTTACTACTCATATCACAAGCAGACATCATATTGGTAATTGACAGAGTAGATCAGCGGTAACGCGTGTCAGTTCTGACTGTCTGAATGAATGAGTTTATTATGCAAAGCCATAATATAAAAAAAATATATTGTACCATCCTTTTCTACGGTCAGTCGTAGAAAAAGTATAGTACGCACCTTGAGAATAAGATCAATTACGTCCACGTCCACGCGAACAATTTTTCGCTCGTTTCCTTCCTTTCTTTGGAAGATTCTCTCATCCCCTTTTTTTGTATCAGATGGAGTAGTAGAAAGCCAAAAACTTTCTTTCCCAAAAAAAAAAAAATATCATACCGTTGCACATTTGCACTTTGCACTCAAATATACCTATCAAAGTACCATAATTTAATATTATATGTATGTTCATATTTATCTATTATATAATTCTATGTATTTTATATATACAGTACGCTATATTACAAATAATGGAATTGTTTCTCAATTCAGCTCATTAAGTATGCATTTCGTAATAGGAGTCCCACGCACAACTTCGGTTTTAGTGGGTTTCTCGGTTTGTACTGCATTTCAATGTATTTATGTAGGTATGAATAAAGCTATTATTATAATGAAAAGTGGAAGCATGTAATTTGCACCTGTTCTACTTATAAAATACCATAATATATCAATCGAATACAACATTTCGATCGTTTTGGGTTCGAAGTCTGATCATCAAAATCTAAACATGAACCATACATGATATCATAATGATTGAAAAGGGACAATTTCGTAGTATCACTCAACATTTTGTTTGTTTCAAAATTCGAATATATTCTCTGCTGATATACCAACTTCTACGACAAGTACCTATATGAGCTCTTCGTAGTTTTTCCGTAACATGTATTTTAAAACTTGGTCGATCATTTGCTGAACCAGTGGACTCAAATTCATTCACCACATTTTGAATTGCATTTGGACGATTATAGCGACTGTAAAATGGGTGAAGCGCGCGGTACGTTGCCCCATTTTTATAAAACAATTTTATCATCTGAACGTGTCGTTGTATGCTATATCCGTCCATAATGATTTGGCAAAACAGACTGAATAAATGACATCTAATTTGACAGACGTAGTTTCAACAAGATGTCCGATATCAATTGTCAAAGTTCGAAAGTCCCTGCTGAAAGACCCGTTATATTACTTCTTGATCAATTAATTCTTTGATTTTGAAAAATTTTTTGTGTGTGAGGAATTCATGAAAAACTCTTTTCAGTTTTTCTAATATTCTATTCATTTACATAATCGAAGAATAATAGTTTAAACACAGAACATATATTTTTACGTTCAAGGTCGACTTGGACCACACTCTATTGAAAATTACTTCGATTTTTACATGCATTTTCCGAATCAATTGAGTGGGTAATATCAAACTCCAATTGCAATATTTTTCAGCAAAATCGAGTATGAAAGTGAGTTGAATAATCGTTTAGTCCTAGAAAAAAAAACGAGAGTCGGTAATATCAAACTCCAATTGCAATATTTTTCAGCAAGATCGAGTATGAAAGTGAGTTATGAATGAAATGAAACTAGTACGAGGTAGGTACGCCTGAGGTACTTCTGGGAAAAAATCTAACACAAAGTTTGCTGCAGTTCTGGTTTGCTATAATTGTAGTCCAACGGATCATGTAGTTTTTTCATCAAATTGTCAACAACCAACGACCACAGAAGAGGCAATAGCACCTTTTCTCGGGGTCCGCCTTTTTCCACAGTCACTTGAATTGTCTCCTCGAAACCAACTAATGAGTCTGCTTTTGAGCATTGACCATATCCCTCAATCACGGATGTTTATTCCATTCCTTGTATCATCTAACGATGGATTCATGTGAGGTATTGTATCAATGAAACCCAAAGGGCATTTTCTTTTGTCATTAAAGATTTTTTGTGCATTCAATAAAGCACTGTAGAAAATTGATTGTAGACTTGTTAGTCTGCTGTTTCTTTGATAGAGATTTCCTTCTCTATATCAAATCTTTAACATGTTTCCATGTTCTGGACTTTGAAGGTTATTTGAGATGTGCCAGTCTCCAATGAAACGAATAGCTCCCTTGGAATCGGATTTAGGGCCCCAGGATGGGGCCTAGGGTGTATATATTTATGAAAGAACGGGAATGTTTCATAGGATAGGAGGTATTTTTTTCCAATGAATTTATTCATTTAACTTGATATACAACCAATAATAGTTAATCAGTACATTATAAAAGTGTAATTTATCGCTGTCTGTGTGAGGTATGTGAGGACAAAATTTTCAAAATGTATATGCAGAATGACATCTGTCAATGGACAAAATACTGGGTTGTCCCCAAAATTAGTTACATTAAATAATTCATAAAAAAATATACAGTGTGTAAAAGCCACATGGAGTAAATTCATTATTTCGGTTACGGTACATATTTTTAAAAAAATCCCGAAACACGTCAAATTCAAATTATAATTTGACCTACTTCAACGGAAAAATGCAACCCCTACCTTCAACCCCCTTCAAATGACAGGTACAACCCCCCATTTTTCAAGTGGGAAGTATAGGTTTGTGATATATCGTTTAAAAGGTCTCTTCATTTTCTATTCAAAATTGTTATCGCTTTCAAGTTTATTGCAACAATCAAAATAAAATAAATTAAAATCATGTGGTTACTGAAAGTGGATAAAATACACTCAAAACTTATTGCAATATACTCAAAACTTATTTCATGTTGAGGTATTGTAAATAAGAAAGTAAGCAAAAACCATAGCAATGTTCTTTTTAGATGGCATCCTTTAAAAAACTGTAAATAATTTCCGTGGCAACTTGTTTTGTATGTATGACAACATTAGTTGTCAGTAGTGTAATTTGAGTTTAAAGTTCGTTAACTTCAAGTCTGGCAAATCGATTGATTAACAGAAATGCATAAAATAACAGTTTAAATGTTCTTAAGAAGTTTATTCCACATAAACGCCGTCCTCCAAATGAAAGAGTTCTTTCAATGAATTGATGGATGTAGCCGTTACTATGTGGTAGGAGATCATGACATATGGACATTTTCAAATTTAAACAATAAACTTTCATTGTTTAAGTTTGAAAATGTCCATATAGGATAAAACTGCAGTAACGTTAGTTACAAATAAAAGTGGTAAAAAACATAGAAATTTTCATATCTCTATATGGACATTTTCAAACTTAAACAATAAACTTTTATTGTTTATTGT